AGCAAAGCATTTTGTATCCCCCACAGTCGTTTCTGCACAAACCACCGACATATGAAGTAGGTCGGTCTGTTTGTGTCGGTTCCGCGTTTGACGAAGGCTATGTTCAGCCTATTCTTATCTAACAGAGGACTGTCGTTTATTTCGTCGCTGTCGTCAAATAAATCCTGTTAATGAGAAAAAAAGCTAAGTAGCACAAACGTTGAGTATTGCATTTAAGAGCCCAAGGCCCAAAAATACCGCTTCAAAACGCCAGACTTTGCAAATCTGCGCCTGACGATGGCTGGCTGACCACGGTTAAGAACTAAAAGTGGTCAGTCCGTTCTGCTTGGATTTATTCGTACTCCCGTCCTGCATGAATTATCGGCGGCTATACGGAATGCCTGCGAATGCTGTAAATTGGACCCAGGATGCAGCGGAACGAGCATGTGCCCTAACACATTCGGTAAACGCCGATCCTACGATAGTTAATATTGTCCGTGGAAAACTAAAGGACAGGGTGCAACGTAACAAGCCTGTGCGCTAACCCGATGGGTGAACGCAATTCCCACGACAGTTCTTAATAGTGCTGGCAGCAGCTGGAATGCTGCGTTTATTTTTTTTCCTAGACTGCCTCATGAACCTTGGACAAAGTGGCATTCATTGCCACTACGAATGTACCTCTGAACTGAACGAAGACAACACTGAGATCTTTGTTTGTCCCATATTCCTTCGTTCATCCTGTCGATTCATAAATTGCTGTCTGCTAATCGGTCATCCCGAGTGTTACAAAATCCGAGGAGCGGAATTACCGTACTCTGAAAGAAGATTTAATTAACGTTCACGTCTGCGTTGTAGGAGGTTTGATCGTTGTTTTCAATCTTTTTGTTGTTCTTTGACTGAAACAAACATTAAACTGTTCCGCCATACATAGGTACATACATTATGTACATTATACACATGTACAGTGCGTGACTGGTCTCATGAAATGTTGGCCAAGATTCTGGAATGCGTTTCCGATTAGGAAGAATTACTTAAGTGGGGTTTTTATACTGATTATCATACAGCGTAACCTTATAACATTTTGGACTTAGCAGGATGTCGGCTTTAAAAAACACTTCTTTTTGATCTGCAGAAACCACACTCGGTAAAAAATGACTACTTAAGAAGCATGCATTTTTCCTATGGATTTTTGATGGTCTTATAAATTCAAATATATTTTACAGAAAACGT